CCTTGAACAATTCCAGGGGTGAGGCAGCCACAGCTTCTTCTATTCTAAATTATATTCTGGTAACTATTTTGATTGGAGAGGCAATAAGAGATAATAATCACTTGCTGCTGTAAAATAATGTGAAGTGTATTGTGCAGTTGAATTCAAGTGCTGTGGGATTTTCTCTTACTGTCTCTTTTTTATTTTCAGTTCTTGGCCATTATCCTGGTTATCTTCATTGCAGAAGTCTCCGCTTTTGTCTTGGGATTTGTTTACAGAGAAAAGGTAAACTAAGAATTTTTAGCATCTCTGTCCCAACATAAAAGTAAAGAACAGATCTCACATTGTTTAATCATTCCAATTTATCTGGGTTGTTTGGTTTTTTTTTACTCCATCCCCTGTCCTGCAACCTGCAGAGCAAATGGGAATGGGGATGTCTTTTCTGGGAACATAGTGAACATATAAAGTACCTGGCAGATATTACAACAGTCTCTGAGTTGGATCAAACAGTTGTTGATGCTCTCAGAGGAGGACTTTTCCATCAAGGGCAGCAAGCTTCTACCCAGGAACATGATTCTGACTAAGGGCCACCTGAATTTTGTCTAAAACATTGCTTGATTTTTCTTATTTCTTATTTTCCCCCTTGACTTATTTGAGATACAGATCTTTTGCAGTTTCCACCAGATGAAATGTTCAGCTCTCACATTAAAATCATCTGCATTGTTTTTCTGTCTAAACAGGTAAAAACTGATGTGCAAGGTACAATGCGCTCCGTCTTTGAGAAGTATGATGGCCAAAACCCAGAGTCTAGGGTTGTGGATTACTTGCAAGAACAGGTAAGAAAATACTTAAGCATTGTTTGGAAAGCAATGTTTGGGTCCTAAACAAGGAATTTAGGCTGGGAAAGGTGGGGAGAGGATGAGTGGGGCAGTATCCTGGAGCTTGGCTCTGTGTTTAGCATCCAATTGAGCTTGGCTCTGTGTTTAGCATCCAATTCCCCAAGGCAGCTGAGGGTGCTCCTCGCTTTGCAGAGCTGGTGTGTCCAGGCTGTGGGTGTGACATTCATGCAGGCAGGGATGTGGCTGATGTGAATGACACTTGCATCGCAGCAAATAAGTGCATAGGAATAGCTGCTGCTGAGAGCACCACACCATAAAATAGTGACATGATGGAAGACTCTGCCCTTCAACTTGTCACCTTCCTGTTGGAGCTTTCACAAAGAATAAACTAAGAGGGACATGATAATGTATGGAGATTGATTTATTACATCTGTGATTGTTTTCCTGAAGCACCGCTGCTTGTAAATCTGCTGCAAGCTACTGGCAGCTCTGGCTATGCCTAAGAGAAGTTTAACTCACCACGAGCATTTATATATATGAACATATATTACATATATATAATGTAACTAGTAATACATATGTATAATGCTGTGTAACAGTAACTGCTGTGTCACTGTCCTGTGTTTGATAGCTTCACTGCTGCGGGGTTAAGAACTACAGCGACTGGACCACCACCCAGTGGTTTAATTCCACTGGGAACAACAGTGTTCCTCAGAGCTGCTGCCAGCAAGAGGCCAAGAACTGCACCGGGCACCTGGATCAGCTGCAGGAACTCAACACACGGGTGAGGATGAGGGGCTCGGGGTCACACCTGGGCTGTGTTCATTTTCAGCCAGGTGGAACTGTGGAGAGAAGCATGCCAGGCACAGTTCAGGGATATAGGTGTAGTTGCTTAAACACATCTGGGTCAGGGAAACAACTCATCTGGGATTGACCACACTGAATCTGGAGGATGACAGTGCTCTGCCCTGGAGCCAGCCTGGCACAGCTGGGGCTGCTCACCTGCACAAGAGAAGCTCCAGGGACACCTCAGAGCCCCTGCCAGGGCCCAGAGGTTGCCCTATAAGGAAGATGAGGTCAAATATTTTAGCAGGGCCTGTTGCAACAGGACAAAGGGTAATGGTTTTAAGCTAGAAGATCAGTGTAGATCAGATATGAGGATAGGGAGGCCCTGGCCCAGGGTGCCCAGAGCAGCTGTGGCTGCCCCTGGATCCCTGGCAGTGCCCAAGGCCAGGCTGGATGGGGCTTGGAGCAGCCTGGGACGGTGGGAGCTGTCCCTGCCCATGGCAGGGGGAGCCCAAATGATCTTATAAAGTCCCTTCCAACCCAAACACTTTGTGATTCCAGACGCCATACCACGTTCTCCAGTCTAGGGCACAAAGCCCTAAGCTGACTTTCATAGATCATATTGATGGCCATTCTGACCCCGAGTTTTGGGGTCTTGTTTAAATGACCAGAGCCAGAGGAAATTCAGACGCAGCAATGTCAGTAAATTGCAGGTTGTCAGTGCCTCTCCTCACACAGGAGGAAATAAGCCACCAGGTCTGGAAGACAAGAATGGAGCTCCTCAGACCTGCAGTGCGGATTAGACAGGCTTTACCAGGCCCTGCTGCCTTGGGAGAGCTGGGGGGAATAATAAAAACTTCCTGCTGGATGAACACCTTTTAACATGTTTTTACCTCTGTCTTTCATGGCAGGGCTGTGCACAGGAACTGGAGTCTGGGCTGCAGAGCGTTATCAGCTATGCCATGCTTGTAATCCTGGGGTTTGCCATCGTAAAGGTAAACACTCCTGTCTCCTCCCTCATGGAAAATAGTACTGTTTGCCCTTGGATCTCAGGTCTTCTTCATCTTCACTGTACTAACAGCCTACAGCTTTCTTCTGCCTCTGGAGTAGACTCAGTCCTCTGTTCCTCACTTGTGTTTTTCCCACTGTCTCCGTTTCATCTGCCTCACAATGATGGGAGGGATTCAAAAAATAGTAGAGGGTTTGGAATGGAAATTCACTGTGGAATCCATTTTATCATAGTCACAGAATCTCGGGATTGTTTGGGTGCTAAGGGACCTTAAAGCCCATCCATTCCCACCCCTGCCATGGGCAGGGACAGCTCCCACTGTCCCAGGCTGCTCCCAGCCCCATCCAGCCTGGCCTGGGGCACTGCCAGGGATCCAGGGGCAGCCACAGCTGCTCTGGGCACCCTGGGCCAGGGCCTGCCCACCCTCCCAGGCAGCAATTCCTCATTCCCAATATCCCACCTAACCCTGCCTTTCCTAGTGGAAAGCCATTCCTGTCACTCCTTGTCCAAAGGTGTGCTTAAATAGTTCGGAGAACTCATCCCCAAACAATCCTAGCCTTTCACTGAAATTTTCCCCATGGCAAGATAAATATTAATTAATGTGAATGTACTAATTAATGGAACAAACCAGAGAGGAAACACTCCAGCCGGAACTATTACTGGGAATTGGTATGCAAAAATAACACTTTATGCAGATGTATTTTTAAATGAGTTTTTTCCATATAATGAAGTCATCCGCTGTGTAGGTGTTTAGTCTGACAACTGAAACAAACACAGCAGGACTTAGTCCCTTGTGCACTCCCTCTTTTCCAGTTCTTCGGCATGCTGAGCGTCTGTGTGCTTACTTGCAAGAAAGAAGAAAGTGGATATCAGCCTCTTTACTCAGGGGTGTTTGCCTAGTAAACCGAGAACAACCTTGCTTCCTGATGATGAAACTGACTTGTGATCACACCACAGCTTTCTGAAACGTTATGCGAAGTTTGGACCTGTGACTACTGGTAGCACCGGGTGGTGTAGTAGGCTCCAGAAAGAAACTTTCTTCTGACCTTCTTTCCTCTGCCCCAAAAACATGCAGCAGAAACTTTATCTTTTAATCAACAAAAGGGTGGAGACCTCAGGAGGGGTTTCAGTTGCCTGCATAAACCTCAGATCACTCCCATGATGTGGCTTGAACAACAAAAGAAACTTCTGAATGCCAGGTTTAAATACTCTTCACAGGCATGGGGATCAGTAGTATGTTTTTTTCTGTGTCTGATTGTGCAGTTTCAGATTTTTTCCCCTTTCTTATGTCACATGTTATAATTCTGTTTACTGGAGAGGTTGTTAGTGCAAGACAACCCCGCGCTTAAAGTCTAGAACAAGCATTTGTGTGGTTGTTTGGAGCAGCTAGCAAAGATGAAAAAACCCAGGTTTTGAGCTTTTGGGCTCAGAACTGTCTCTCTTTGGTTTGTTTTCAATCTCTTAATTATTGACATTAAAAATTCCTTATGAAGCAGGGCTTTTGAACATTTTCTTCCTCCTTTTTCTATGGTTTGCCTGGGGGAATTAGTGCCACACTTCCGCCCTGACCATGCTTTTCTGCTAAAATACTAAAAAAATAAATTCTTGTACTAAGCAATTTCAATAATATGCTGTAGCGCTGCTTTTGTACATTTCTGTTCTCCTTAGTTCTGCTGGACACAGATTGGATTGTATCCCTGCTTTAACACAGTCCTTCTTTAACTCGTTTGTATGTTAATCTGTTTATAAGCTTTTCAGAATTTTGGGGATAGAGAACAGAGGGAACTGTGAGCCTTTATGTATCAGGGAATTGTGGAAAAGCAAGACATTCTGTTGATTCCTTCCTTGGAGAGATAAGCAACCTGTCCTCAGTAAAATAAACCTTTATATTTATGGTTAAAAAGAAAAAAAAATAGCTTGAGATCAGTGTAAACTGTTTAACTATCTCCATCCCTACCCCAAGAGAAAAAAAAAAAAAGCAGCAATGGGTGACAATGTCCTATAGAAGACACACCAGCATGAGCATATGTATGTAGAAAACTGATTTTTTATTGAGGGTTTTGTCTTCTGTTAAATGCTGAAATAAACTGAATTTATTCAACCAAGTAATAAATAGTGAGACGGTTGTTGGTCAATGCTATCACAATTCTCCGGAGGAGTAAAGTCCTCAGGGGCGGAACCAGAGCGGGAGGCTGAGGGCGCTGCCTCAGAGAGGTCCCGGACGGCTCCCTCGGCAACTCCGCGTTCCGCCCTTCTTTCCCCCCACCCTCAGCGGTCCTGCCTTCAGCGATCCCGGCTCCTTCTCACCGGGCTCCGCTCAGCAATCCCGCCTTTCGTTCCCGCCTCCCTTCAGCGACCCGGTTTCTCTTACCGCCCCTCTCAGGGATCCCGCTTTCCCTTCCCGCCCGGTTCCCTGACCGATCCCCTCAGCAATCCCGCCTTTCCTTCCCGTTTTCCTCAGCAATCCCGCCTTTCTTCCCATTTCCCTCAGCAATCCCGCTTTTCGCCTTTCCTTCCCGTCCCTCTCAGCAATCCCGCCTTCTTTGCCGCTCCCCTCAGCGATCCCGCCTCCCTTCGCGTTCGGCTGTCCTCAGCGACCCGGTCTCCCTTACTGCCTCCCTTAGCGATCCCTCTTTCCCTTCTCGTTCCCCTTAGCAATTCCGCCCTTCCTTCCCATTCCCCTTAGCAATTCCGCCTTCCTTCCGTTCCCCTCGGAAATCCCGGCTCCACTCAGCAATCCTGCCTTCCGCCCTTCGTTGCCGCTCTCCTCGGTGATCCCGCCTCTCTTCCCCCCTCCTGGCCTTCCTGCCCTCCTTCTCTCAGCAGCCTCCCCTTTCCTTTCCTTTCCCTTTCCCTTTCCTTTCCCGCTGTCCTTTATGACTTTCCGGTTTTTTCTCGCCTTTTTTTAACGTAACTTATGTGAAATTACTTGTACGAGAGGAGTTTGCCTAGTGAAGGAAAGAGCCTGTTTCAAGCCGTGCGTTAAGATTACATCACCCAAATAAATGTGCATTAGGTGGGCGGAGAATATGCAGTAAGCGGGCGTGTTCGTGTGAATTTTACTGTGTAACAGATGTAACTTTTTACCCCCTGGCAAGCTGATTAGTTGGAACGTCCTCCTCGCACGCTGCGCTGAATAAACAATGTCTTGTTTCTAAGGTGAACTCTGTGTCTTTGTTCACAGAGCTCCTAAAAACAATACCTTCCACACTCCCGCTCCCCCCAGAGCTCCCGCCTCACGCCCTTCCTCCTAGCCCAACCAGACTCACAGAATTATAGTCAAAGGCCGGAAAACACCTCCGAGATCGTGCCGAACCCCTGACTGATCCCCTTTTGTAACCCAGACCACAGCATCGAGTGCCACGTCCAGGCTTTCCTTGGACACCTCC